CCTCCGCTGCTGTGCTCTGACCACCATGTCTCCCGCACAGGGAAGGGAGAGGCCATTGAGGCCATCTTGGCAGCGCTGGAGGTGGTGTCAGAGCCGTTCCGCAGCTTCGCCAACACGCTGGTGGACATCTGCGCCTACGCAGGTGAGTTGGGCTGATGAGGCAGGAGCAGGTCCTCGGCCCTCCTTGTGCTGATCTTGGCCCTGTGCTCTCCCTTCAGGCTCAGGGAATGTCCTGAAAGTGCAACAGCTCCTTCACATCTGCAGTGAGCACTTTGATTCCAAGGAGAAAGAGGAGGACAAAGACAAAAAGGACAAGAAAGAGAAGGAGAAGAAAGAGAGCTCAGCTGACATGGGGGCTCACCAGGTGGGGAAATGCGGGCTGGGATCTGTGTCCCGGGTGCAGAAGGTGACTTTGGGGTGGTCCCTAAGCCACTTGTGAGGATCAGAGCTGGAGGAAAACAGCCCCCAGCAGCACCCCCTGGGCTCAGGGTGGGTGCAGGGGCTGTCAGAACTTGGATTTTAGGCTGAGTGCTCCCTGCGTGGTGCTTAGTGCCCGTGTCCCTGCAGGGCGTAGCGGTTTTGGGGATCGCACTCATTGCCATGGGCGAGGAGATTGGTGCTGAGATGGCCCTGCGCACATTTGGCCACCTGGTGAGTGACACTGGGGGGACAGTACAGAGCCCGGAAGGGACCCAGGAATAGAGACTGGGCATTGGCTTGTGTCTCTGTAGACCTCACTGCCCTTAAGCTGGGTCTGACCCCCCCATCTCCCCTCCGTGCAGCTGCGGTACGGGGAGCCCACCCTCCGCCGGGCCGTGCCCCTGGCCCTCGCGCTTATCTCGGTCTCCAACCCCCGGCTCAACATCCTCGACACCCTCAGCAAGTTCTCCCACGACGCTGACCCCGAGGTCTCCTACAACTCCATCTTTGCCATGGGCATGGTGGGCAGCGGTAAGCCCTGGGGGGCAGCCCGGTTTGGAGCTCGTGTGGGGGTGGAGGTGGGAGACCTGAGCCGTGTACCCTGCTCTCTGCCTGTGCTTCCTCTTCCCCAGGGACCAACAATGCCCGGCTGGCAGCGATGCTGCGGCAGCTCGCCCAGTACCACGCCAAGGACCCCAACAACCTCTTCATGGTGCGGTTAGCCCAGGTGAGGACCCTGCACTTGCCACTCGTGGTGGGGAAGGGTCAGGCTGGGATCCTTGCCCTTGGGAGTGCAGTGGTGTCCTGGGGGTGTC